AAAAAAAAGTGTAAAAAGTAGCTCAGTATGAATATAGGGACGCTTGTAAAATTTAAAGTAGGGCAGCTATTAATGGAAATGTCACCATTACATCATGAAATTGTGAATTTTTACAGTTAGGTTTTTTTTTTTTTTTTGATTCTCCAAAATAAGACATCAGGTATTAATACATTGGGGATCAATTCTCCCATCCCTGCTTCATTAAATATTTATTTGCCTTTGAACAAAATCCACCCTCATCTCATCCTCCCCATCGTGTTAATCCTCTGCTCGGTATCTGTGGAAACTGTAACAAGCTGTAAGATGTGATTCGCAGAGTGGAGGTTTCATGCTTGTCGTGATGTGCAAATGTTGTCAGCATGTTGTGCTGCCCTCGCTGTCATCACCTGGTGTCCCTTTTATCACGCTGTCGTCCTGTCACACACTTTGTCGCGGCTCAGCTGTTCCATGCGCTGCTGGATTGTTTTGCAAGTGCATCGTGTTGTACGAGCTCTTGGCATGTTTTGCATGTTAAGCCTCGGTGTTTAAAATAACTACAAATGTTAAAAAAATGTTGTGGTGTAAAAATATACTGTGGATATTCTTGACTCAAGTTAAACTCATTGTTTTTTTGCTCTGTTTTTTGGGTGAGTGGGGGGGGGGGGTTGTGTGAAACACTTTCTTTGAGCAATTTAGCGCTTGTAGCTTAAAAGATGGAGTTTCACATTTAAGATAAGATAACCTTTATTAGTCCCTTCGTGTGGGAAATTTGTTTTTACTGAAATATTTTTCAGCATTCCTCATTCACAGAAACCTGTTGTTGGTTGGCTGAACACAACTCTGCCCACTCAGTGAACACAGTCAGTATAAAAGGCCTCAGGCACATGAAAGCTTCACTGACAAATAATGGACTCTTAAAAGAAACGAAAGTTGAGTCCTCTCTTCTCTTCTAGGCCTTGACAATCAGTTGTATGTTTAAATCATAAAAATAATGAGGTGTTGGTGTCAGCTTCACCATTTTTTTCTTTTTAACTGTTAGTTGAGTAAAGCAAACTCTGATTTTTTTTTTTTAGCTTGTGGGATTTTATTGTTTTAGTGTTTTGTGAAATTGAAAAAGCAGTTAGATGCAGCAGGTCTGGATTTAGCTAGCTCATGAAGACAATTTCAATACATGTATCATGCTTCTTTATCCTTTTATACAGAAATGTGGAACCATCTACATTTGTTGTTTAAGGTGGCGATAACTGCTGTAATTAATGTAAGATGGATATAGCCAGCGTACATGAACATATAGTTTGATGAGGATGGAGCTGATCAGCTAGCTAACTAACTAGCTAGAGCTAGGTCAATGCTAGCTAACTAGCTGGATTAGGAATGTGCATCCTTTTATTCACTGCAATGTAGAGCTGGGCGATAGAACGATAA